AACCAAATCGAGTTCCTTAAATCTGTTCTTCACTTCCACTGTGTATTCATAAGGGATTTGGTTTAGATCAGTGGTTCTTAACCTTTGTTACTCAGATGTTTTTTAACTGCAACTCCCAGAAACCCCAGCCTGCACAGTTGGTGGTGAAGGCTTCTGGGAGTTGCAGTCCAAAACTCCTGAGTAACCCAAGGTTAAAAACCAGTGGTTTAGATTATATCTGACTAGCCAAGTGGTTTTTCCTTCAGTTTAAGCTTGAGTTTTGTTATAAGAAGCTCATGATCAGAGCCACAATCAGCTCCAGGTTTTGTTTTTGCTGACTCTATAGTTCGTCTCCATTTTTGGCTGCAGAGAATATAATCAATCTGATTTCGGTATCACCCATTTGGTGATGTCCATGTGTAGAGTCACCTCTTGTGTTGTTGGAAAACAGTTTTTGTGATGACCAGCTTGTTCTCTTGACAAAACTCTATTAGCCTTTGCCTTGCTTAATTTTGAACTCCAAGACCAAACTTACCTGTTATCCCTTTTATCACTTGACTCCCTACTTTAGCATTCCAATCCCCTAGAATGACAAGAACGTCTTTCTTTGGTGTCAGTTCTAGAAGGTGTTGTAAGTCTTCATAGAATTGGTCAATTTCAGCCTCTTCAGCATCGATGGTTGGTGCATAAACTTGGATTACTGTGATGTTGAAAGGTCTGCTTTAGATTCATATTGAAGCCATTCTATCATTTTTGAGATTGTATCCCAGTACAGCTTTTCCCACTCTTTTGTTGACTATGAGGACTACTCCATTTCTTCTACTCATATTCCTTGCCCACAATAGTAGATATGATAATCATCTGAATTGAATTTGTCCATTCCCATCTATTTTAGTTCACTGACACCCAGGATGTCAATGTTTATTCTTGCCATCTCCTGTTTGACCATGTCCAGCTTTTAGTTCAATTGCGCTTCGTCAGGACTCTCCACTATGACCTGTCTTGGGTGTCACTGCACCGCATAGCCCATAGCTTCTCTGAACTGCTCAAGCCCCTTCACCACAACAAGGCAGCAATCCATCAACTAGTTTACACTTCTTTAATTATTATTAGGAGTATGTGTAGGGTACTATGTGTTGGGACTCATGGAAAAGTAGCCATCAAAGCACCAAACTGAAAATTATGTTGTTCAATTCCTTTTCTTTGAAAGCATAATTTATGTTTTCCTTTTGAGTGGGGGCAGGGATATCATTTTCTCCTCTTCCTTGTGACCCATGGTAGGGAGGGTCAGAAATAGTACCACTTGCCCTGGCTCTACAGGAATGACCAAAAAAACGTTGCTACTTCTCACATGCAGTTAATCCCTTTGAGTTTAGATACAATCTTTAGCAACTAGTAGTCGGAGATGAGGATGACCAGCACAGCTGAATTAAAAGCAGACGAGGTGCAATAGTTGGAGCTATATTAGTCCCCAAATCCTCAGCTGCAAAATAAATACACAGGCTAACAGAAGGCAAGCAGAGACCAAGCAGAAAAACAGTCATACTGCCCTTGACCTTCAGGGGAAGACCAGTGGAATGCTTAGGGTGACCAGGTTTCCATGTCCCCTCCTGAGTTATGGCATGTGGGGGTGAGGAATAGGCCGTTGTCTACCCCTCAGCACATGCTGCCTGAGAGGACTCCCTCGCTTTGCTGGACGGTTGGTCTAGCTCTATTCCACAAACCTACTCAAAGTTAGAGGAGCCTTCTGTCCCTGGGGTCCAATAACAATAGTCTTTAACAATCAGGAAAGAGAGGCCCACTTGACTGGCTGCAAGATGAACCAATAAAGCATCACCCTTTCCCTCAACAACAACAAATTCTGCCTTGTGGCTTAGGTTTCAGTGTCTACCTTGCAGGCACACAACAACCACGGTACTCTCAGAGAATTACTAAGACACTGACAAGGGACGAGGTACGTGACCAGGAAACCTTGGTGACAATCCCGTGGGTGCCTCAGGAGAACACAAACCCTCCTCTTCAGCTCAGTAAAGAGGAGGCAAGAGGGAGGGAAAGAGGTATATGCCCTCAGGGGTATATACTCATTCAGCTGTCACAGGCTGTGTTGTCAGGTGAGAGAGTGGTGGTGGAGGAACACGTACAAGAAGAAACACAGACACCAATTAGCAGGGCTGATGAAGAACGATCTCTGCTTGTATTGTTTTCAGCAGAGACAACTTGAGGCATTTTGATGCCTGAGGCAGAACTTGTACAAAATTGCCCGGACATGTGTATAATTGAATCTTACTTCTCTCACTGAGCAGGGGAAAGCATCTTTCGCCACACCAAAAGGCAGCAGACCAGCTTAAGAGAGGCAGGGCAGACTGCCTGGAAATTATAACCTTGAACCCAAACCCCACCCCAGGGGGAAGGGTGGGATAGTAAGAGTGACAAAGAACCCAATCTTTAAGACATCACAATTGTGTGTTGTTTCTGCTGCAACAAGCATAGCTGTCCTTCTGGAAATAACAATAACAGTAGGAATACCTCCTTCTCGCGTGGCTGTCAATACCACAAGTGACACTGGAGAGCCACTAATGGCAAAGTTAAAACCACCATCAGTAATTATACTCTTAGAAGGCTACTTTTCCAGGCAGAGCTGGCCCAACTTAATTTGCTACATGAGGGGGAGCACAAGATGTTGCTCCCTCCATTTCACATGAAAAAACTGACTGGGTGGGAGAGCATCTACAGCTGCACCTTAGGGCAAAAGGCTAGTATCGTGGCTACAGAGCAAACTCTGATACAGCTGTCCCCCAATACCTCCTGCTGTCCCTTGTCGAAAGATCTCCTACCTCAGGCAGCCACCTACCTCACCTCAGTTTATTATAGGGCCATGATTGCTTAAGGTCTATTTGAAGAATTCAAAGAGATACATAAAATAGCAGGTCTTTCAGCTTGAGACTCTTACCTTCTTTTTAAAAAACTTAAATTTTATCTGTTAAAATTAAGAAACTATACAAAGTACATCATAAAGTCAAACAAAATAAAACACACAAAAAGTATAATGTAAAAATCTGAAAGGCTATCATAAAAAAAGGGAATCATTTCAGAAATGCCTTCTGAAACCCAGTCTGAACCTAAAACGAGGAAGAGGGCTTGAGAAATTTCTTCAGACAGCATGTTTGAGAAGTGTAGAAATCTCAGACTCTTCTCACTCACACCCATCCTTTGAACTGCACCTATGGGGGACAACACTTCCTGCCACAGTGGTTTGCAGCTCTAAATGCTGTACATTTCCATTTTTCTTGTAGGATCAAGATCTGGAAAGCCTGGCAGCCATCGAGGCAGAACTGGAGAAAGTGGCTCACAAGCTCCACGCCCTGAGAAGAGGCTGATGCTTCCTTGACATGCGATGTGAGCAAAAAGCCAGAAGTTTTAATTCAATGTATTAAACCCTGACATTTACTCTCTCTTTTTTAAAATTTTAAAAGGGAGTAAGAAGAGCGTGGGCGCATTTTGCATAGAAAGCCAATATCGCTAGGAAAAACAGCCACCTCTCTATGTGTATGTGTGTGTGGTAGTACTGCGCTCCATCATTAATTACTTGTTGTTTGCTTTCATGCTTGCTTTACTGGCTATCAGTTTTCTCTTGTAACGTTGGGATTATGACATCACAAGCACTCACAAATTTTCTATTGAGAAAAAGGGGTTGTTTGTTATCCTCCCCCTCCTTATTTTCCTTTGTTTTAAAACCACGACAGCTTTTTAGAATGTTTTCCTTTTAGATTTACTGGAGAAAATAACTTGCAATAATTTTGTTAATCTTTTGATTCAAAGAGGAGGATTCTGACTGTAATATATTCTATATAAAAATTCAGGACTAAAATAAACACACAGTTTTGGGTTCCTTCCTTCACTTCTCTCAATTGTGGTTTTTTAATGAACTTTCGGTATAAAGACTGCTGGCTTAGGTGGTATGGGACACCGGGTTCAAATCCTGGTTCTCTGTGAAGATCAATGATGACAGCCTTGTGTAAACCACATGAAACACAGGTGATTAACCTGTTTCCCTGTCCTAATTTCATATATCCCAGTTAGAGGTTTTCTAAAGGTGTTCCGGCTCTGCCCACCACAGGGGCGTGGGCCTTCTCTGAAGGAATAGAGCCCTCAAGGAGAAAATGTCAGCCCTGCTCTGAAGCCTATCCTAACCCTAGCCTCGTACCCATACACACCTTAAATGCAACTAACTCCACAAGTGCCACCCTTCAAAGGATGCTGCAGAATTAAGAAACACACATGTATTCTGCCCTAAATCCAAATAATTTTAAAGCGACAAGCTGCGCAAATTATTTAAGACAATAATTTATCATCACTTTATGACTTTCGAGAGGCTGGGCTTCTATTTGTTACTACAGGAGAGTCATTAAAAAGCCATCAAATATTGTCCTGTTAGAACATGATAGAGTTCAGTCAGCCTAGGGTCCATCATATTGAATTATCAACTTCTGTGTTCCAGATATGACTCCACCATGTGACTGCAGATGTGGGAAACCTTCCTTACAAACCTTGCTGTTGTTTCTGCCCAAATGTCAGTAATGGTTAGTTGTTGGCAGATATTTTTTTTGCCAAACCTTAGAAGGTTTCGGACAAATCTCATATACTGAAAAAAATATCAAGTGGTCATAGGGGCTGTACAGGCTAGGGCAGGAACTACAAATTTCAGATAACCTGCAGCAAGTTTGTTTGTTTTTTTAACTGCTCATTATCATCCATGCATGATGTGAAGCAGTCCTGGGCCCACAGGCTGGCTAATCAATGGGAAACTTCTTACCACTGCTAACAATGTCAGGATTGTGGCAGTCTTGCCTGCTTGCCATATGGGGACGAATGAGCCCCTCCAGCTGCCCTCATGCCCAGCAAGATGTTGCTAGCTAGCCAGTGCCAAGGTGACTGGGAAGCTTCCACAGTACTGCCCAGGTAGCAATACTGTCCATGCCTAAGAGGCAGCTCCAGCAGCTTCATTCCTGCCACATGACAAGCACTGGTCCTTGTGCTGTCAGCAGCTGGGAAGTCCCCTGGCCCTTGTGCTGTCAGCAGCTGGGAAGTCCCCCAGCATCAGCTGGCGGTGACAGAAGCCCTGGTAGAGTTTAAAATTAGTGCCGATGCGTACTTTTAAAAACCACACCACGGCTTACATTGTGTGAAATGACTGAAGCCACTATGAAGTCAGGTTTGGGCTGAGTATGAGGAAAAAACTGTTAGAGCAGTACGACAATGAATCCAATGGCCTCGTGAGGTGGCGAGCGCTCCAGTGCTGGAGGCATTCAAAAGACAATTGGACAGTCATCTGTCAGATCTGCTTTGACCTGGACTTCTGCATTATAGGCCTCTGCCAACTCAATTATTCTATGATTCCATGAAGTGACTTTGGTCCTTTCTGAAAGTGAACTTCTGGTCGAGGTGCATTTTTGGTAAGGCAATGGGGGGAAGAACATACCTTCTCCCTGTAGGAATTCAGCACACTGATATGCACCACAGGGCCTTTTCTGCATGCTAAACAGCACAGGTATCTGCAGAAGGAAACTGGATGTGGCCCTTCTCATCCCTTAAACATGAGAGGTATTCATTCCAACGTGTCTATTGGTCCCAAAAGTTTGTATAAGGTGGAGAGAGGGTAAAAGAAAAAAATAGCAAGAGTGGATATACAACTCCCCTGCTGTTAGTAATAGCTCTGATTCCCCAAAGCCACATGACAGCTGGCCTGTTCTTTACTACTTTATGATCCTCTCCAGTAGGAAATCCATGTGAAACCATCCCATTCTACATGAAAAATGGATTAACACAAATACATTGGATTGTGAAACCTGAATGTAAAGAAATCACGTTTTGTAAAAATTTTATTGCTGTTGAAGATTGTGCTAGTGGAATTAAACACACACCTCACCCGGGTTGCTTCAGGCATTAACAAGAATGCAAGGTAACATGTTGGAGTAAGGCATTTTATTTTAAATCCAGAAAAGGACAGATCTGTCTTTGAAGCAAACACAGAAACAGATGACTATTGAGTGCACTGAAGTCTACTGTTAAAAGAATTAAAATAAACAAACAAACCCAGATTTGTCACAAGTGTTTGGCAGAAAAAAGGGATAAACTAGTGTTGAAAATAAACAACTTAAGCAAGAGACAAGAAGCACCATATTATTACTGAGAAAGATGTCTTGTCATGCAGTACAAGTAAAAAGCCATAGAATTAATATTTTTGGTTTTTATAGAAGGTCAGATTTTCTCTCTTTATATATATCTTTATATATAGATATGTATATATGTACACATTAAATACAAAATCATTTAGTTTTCCATAAAACTAATTTTTGTGATCAAGACCAAAGCAAATCACAACACTCGCACTTGTTAATGCTATATCAAGTGGCAGGGGACTTAAGATGAAACATTAATGATCACATGGAAATTTGGCAAAAGCAGGTATTTTGAACTTTGCCCTGGAGACAATAAATGAAAAGCATGCCTTTCAAAAAATACACACACAACACAACTACAAAGCCTTAATTACTGATAAAGGCAAAAGAGTCCAGTTTAATGGGATTTTCACTGGGATCTCATTTGGAAGGAGGAACAGGTGCCACCTAAGGGGAAGAGAGAATCTAAAGAAATAAATAATTAGAAACATTTCATACTTAAAACATAACCATTATTGACTTTTCTTTACAAAAGAGATAAAGATCCTATCATTTCTACGGGCTGCATACACTCCAAAATATAGAAATCACATTTTTAATACTTAAATATTTGCAATATTTAAGTACATGTATCTCTTCACACACTGAGAAGTTTTATTAGGCAGTTACTGTGCAAATGACGGAAGGAAAAAGTAAACGTGACCTGGGTTGCTTGCAGAAAGGAAGACATGATTTCTTGCCTTCACCTCATCCCTGCTTTCTTCAGATCTCAGTAAAAACCTTGAATAGTCCTTGCAACCTCTTCCTTTTTTTTTTCAGCAGTAGGTGAACTAAATTGCACATTTACAACATGTGTTTCACAATCTGAACAAGGGCAAGATACAAGATTTGGACTAAATCAGAGCTAGGAGCATAACCCTTCTGATGCTGTTGGACTACTACTCACACAGCACTTCCTCCACCAGTTATTCTGGCTTGGATTGGCGGAAGCTGCAGGCCAAAAACATCTGGTGGGCCATACTCCTGGGCTAAATTCTATTTTATTCCCAGCTACAGTAGATCTATTGAAACCAATGGGAGATCTGTCAGTGTTGACTAATGACCCATTTGATTCAATGTGTCCAACTCTAGGTAAAGGTAAAGGTTCCCCTTGACAATTTTTGTCCAGTCGTGTTCGACTCTAGGGGGCGGTGCTCATCCCCGTTTCCAAGCCATAGAGCCAGGGTTTTGTCCGAAGACAATCTTCCGTGGTCACATGGCCAGTGCGACTTAGACACGGAACGCTGTTACCTTCCCACCGAGGTGGTCCCTATTGATCTACTTGCATTTGCATGCTTTTGAACCACTAGGTTGGCGGGAGCTGGGACACGTGACGGGCGTGGATTTGATCTTACGACTGCTTGGTCTTCTGACCCTGCAGCACAGGCTTCTGCGGTTTAGCCCACAGCGCCACCATGTCCAACTCTAATTGAGACTAAAATGAGATTTTGCCCATCATGTTCTGTTGGGTCGACTTTACTAACATAGCTGACCAAAAGAGAAATTGATGTAGCTGACAAATAAGGCTCTGCTCTAATAGTTGCTACTCTTGTGAGGTATCACAAAAAGCATCATTTATGTCCCTGGTCTATACTAACTCAGACTGCACTCAAGGTTCTCCTTGGCTGAATACTTCACCATATGACCAAATACAGAACTGACGGAACAAATTTAGACACTTGTCTTTCTGCATATATTTCTTCCCATCCTCCCACGGAAGAATCTGCAGTCCTGCTAGAGTCTAGAAGGAGTTTAATTCTGTAATGTGCTTTGTGCCGACTGGCTCTCGTTTGCACAAGAGTGTTTTTTAAAAGACAATATTGAAAATAAGTCCAAAAGAGAATGTTCTCATTCTGGTTAAAGAAGTATATGTACATTACTGAAAAGTGAATTATGTTGGACATACATGTTCAAAGTATCAGAGGGTTAAAGGGAGGGGCAAATGTTTAGCCATGAAAATCAAAATGTTGTGAAAGAGATAGTAACACTTATTTCCTGCTACAGTGTGAATTATATAGAAATCCTGTTGGTGGTGGAACTGAGCATTCTGCACAGAGTTCTCAAATTACAGTGGCAAAGTTTAAGCTAACTGTTTGACTGGTCAGTTAAACTTATTTCTTTCTTCCTTTCTCTGAGACAAAAGTCCCAAATTATGATTTAATAAGCTCTTCAAAATATAAGAATTTATTTATTTATTTTTAAAAAGCAGATTTTGACGCAACTCCAGGAGGCAGTGGAAGACAGGTGGGCCTGGCGTGCTCTGGTCCATGGGGTTACAAAGAATCAGACATGACTTAACGACTAAACAACAACAAAATCCTATTGCTTAGAGTAGTAAATCACACTTCAGTAAGCTCACTGAATCAGTGGGGATTTGAAGTCCACTCTTCTGTAAGTTCAAATGGGGTACTCTACTTGCAACTTACTAAGCTAAAGCAACAGCATTTCATTCACCATCTTAAAAGAGGAAATTCACCTCTTAAAAACTGGAGATGTTTCTTCTACGATGAAGACTACTGCACATACTGTACGTGTGGATTAGATAAAAATGAGCATTTCCCCTTGCTCTATCTACCTATCAGCTCAAATTTCAATTTAAAGTCATTCCATTAAAATTCACAAAGTTGACTGAGATGCCTTTAACTGAGTAAGAATATATGTTTTAACCAGTTAAACAGCTGACGTTAATTACTCTGTCGGATAATTTTCAAATGTGCAAAAGCTAAGGAAGTCCATAAGAAGGTCACTTTTCATTTAATGTACAAAGAGTCCACAGGTGGGAGGATAAGCAAAGCAGACCCTTGTGATTTTAAGTCAGTAAAAGCAATTGTAGTAAATTAGCCACATTGTCAACATATCCCACATATTTCAATTGTTTTAGAGTACATATCTGTATGACAAATAATTTAAATAAGTAGGCTATAACATTGAAGGGGATTCTGAGAAAGAGAGAAGGATCTTTTATATTTTACACACTACAGGGGGACTAAGGTTGTGCAAATGCCTACAGTGTTGCAATCACACCGAAGGGGCTAGGTTTTATAGACTTTCTCAAGAAAGAAATGTTTTCAAGAACAGATGTTGAAGCTAAGGGAATGATGGGTCCATCTGGAACTTTTGGATGGGATGTGAATTTATGTCCAAGTGAGTTCTCAAAACTATCAGTCCTTGTGTGCCTATGACATGCAAGGCACACCTTCTGCTAGTCCATAGTTTTGAGACTGCTGAGGACCACACTACATACAAGGACAAAAATCTTGCAGAATGCCTGTTTCTTATCTACCCCAACTTCTGATTTAGCAGGTGCACTGAAAGAGCTGTCATCTCAAAGAGACTCTCAAGGTTGCCTCCTTGTTCCGAGGAAGCATAACTGGTTTGATATGGCAATAACCTAAAGAACTAGTGCAATGCACACTTGTCTAAAAACTGATAAATTTGCTTTACAGTAAGTAAAGAACAACAGTGTTGCTCTGTGATGGGACAGTCAACTTCTAAGATTCCAAGTGCCATTTTCTATTTTCCCTGCACTCCTTTGGGCTGCTAGAATAAGACATCACATAGCTCTGTAGCTTTAGAGATGAATTATGCCACCTGGAGACTTCTGTATGGACCATTCTGAGTAACGGAAGGAAATGGTCTGGGTTGAGTGGGGTACATGATTCTCAGTCCTGGTCTATGCAGATAATATTCAAGCTTTTGTACTCCATCTTGCTGCTGTTGTTTATTACTCTAGATCAGTGGTCCCCAACCTTGGCTACTCCATCTTGCTGTTGTTGTTTATTACTCTAGCTGATCATGTATTGGCTCTACCCTGTTTCTCCAAAAATAAGACCTAACCTGAAAATAAGCCCTAGTATGATTTTTAGGATGCTCGTAATATACAGTAAGCCCTACCCCCAAAATAAGCCCTAGTTAAGTTAAACCCCACCCTCCGCCATTGTGCAGCAACCAGGAGATGACATGACTGTATTTGAATAAATGTAGATTGCTGTAAGTGAGCAAAATAAAACATCCCCTGAAAATAAGTTCTAATGAGTTTTGGGGAGCAAAAATTAATAGAAGACCCTGTCTTATTTTCGGGGAAATACGGGTACTTATTTTTACAAACTGGCATTTGGTATTTTTTAAAAAGTCATTCCCATGTCTGATAATGGCAAAGCCATTTAAAAATAACAGCAAAAATGGGGCGTGTGTCTGGGGGTGGGGGGGAAAGAGAACAACTGAATTGCAATATTTTAACATTGGTTTCAAATGAAATTATAATTCTTCTGGCACCATCCTCATGTGCAAACTCTTTAGGATCAGCCTTTACTGCAGATATAAAAGTAAGCTTGGATCATTTGAGATTCCCTAGTGTAATATATGCCAAGAAAGACTATTTTAACAATTTGGAACATTTATCAACATAACTTTTTAATACTGCACCCATATTTATTTCCAGAGAAGACAGTCTCTTCCCAGATTTCAAACACAAGTTGCATGGATGTCAATCATGTTCTTAATCTTGAAAATCTTCTGGCAGTAAGTTTATAAACGTCTCAGCTTTTATTAGTCATATGAAGACTTCTATGAAGTGTGTGAAGCAAATAATAATTTAAGGGCAGCTTTACATATATCCTTACCAATGTGCAATATTCCCTGGATTTCAGTTTGCAGCATACTTACAAGAAGCCAAAGCAGCTGTTGCAGTAATAAGGAGCCTAATTTTTAAGCACCTTACAGCAAACAAGGCCTTTGCAAAGCAAGCTATAACAGTAAAAAATGACATAATGTTTTAACTAGAATAAGAGAGATTTCTTTGCAACAAACAAAGACTTTTGCCACACTTTGATCTTGGTCCACAACTCACACATAAGACGGCTGTGCTTTCTTAAAAACAACAACAAACAACAACAAAAAAATACAACCAACCCAAAACAAAAACCATATACCTGTATGCCTTTATACATACACACTTTTATCCTTCATCCAGTCCTTCCTGTCCCTCAAACTCACAATAATTTTATGAAATGCAGTAGAACTTTTCCAAGGACATTATAGATGACCCAGTCCAAACTGAGCTGTATCAGATACCTGTAGGAATCTTCTTTCTTCTTTTTTGTGTGTGCATAGGACAAAAAATGTGCAAAAGGCTTCTCCATCTGTGTGACAGGAAATACTATGCATACACAAGTCTAAGTATATTCAGCAGTGCAAGCGCCAATGAAAAGCTGCCCTTGCAGACTAAAATATTAAAATATCTATAGAATCAAACCTATGGACTCAAGAGCTATAGAAGCAAACCTATGAACCTATGGTGCAACTACAGCTCAAGATTCAAAAGCTCATTTGAGGTAACTGTTTTTTTTTCCTCTGCTCTTGCTCAATTTCACTCACTACTGTGTGCTTGCAACTGCATATTCTTGCTCTCCCTGGCACCTAAAAGAATCAATAAGACTCGAGCCTTGTCCTTATTGTTATTATTATATGAATGATGTGACTCAAGAAATTCTGAGTGGAAGAGAAATCACCAAAAGAATTACAGTGTACCTCCTGGTGAGCCCTATTATAATGCCATTTTGTACACAATATTCGAAGGATGTGGAAAAAGTGACAAGTTGTCATTCTTAAATAAACATCAATTATACTCACAGCAGGAAAAAGTTGGCAAACTACTCAGCTACAGAATTAAAGTTAGATTCTAGTTACAATCAAGATGTGGATGGTATTTATTATAAGACATACTTTGTGTTAAGACTTTAGATGATTTACAAAATATTCTGAAAAGCGATTTGTAAACAATTATAAAATGCACAATTATATTTCAGTAGTTTATTTTGGAGAAATAAAGCAGTGCAAAATAGGGCAACCAAAATTTTAGAAGGCTGCCTTGAAAAGAAACTCATAGTCATTATCAAAACTAGGAAACATCATAAAGACACTGTACTTGGATCCAATATTCAGCTTCACGTAAACAGTTTTTAAATGTCTCCTACAAAAATAGACCGAAACTCTCCTCTATGTTTGCTCATCCTTCAATCCAAGTTTAATATTGACTCCTAAATAAAGGGTAGGGTCAGAGCAGGAACAATGTTAAAGTACACAAACCCAAAAGATAGTGATCCCACAGTACCACCTTGCTTATTCCTAGACTGTTTACTCTCTGAGGGCATCTATAACAAGAACTAAATCTGTGACACTTCCTCCTGATTCCCCTTGTAATGCAGGAAATGTGTGACACTCTATCAAGTTGCTGGTTTCCTGACCCATGCCAGCTGGCAGCCAGTAAGGTGGCATCAGAGAGTGGTGACACTTGGCATAACAGAATGAAGAATTGTGGCTAACGAAATGTTATAGAAGAGACTATTGCTGTTTTCAAAGGTGCCAATTATCGGGCAATCTGAAACTCTCTGTACATGTGCACATACATATATCAAGATGAAAGCAACAGTTTTTTTTTCAATACTGATAGCAAAATTATTGTTGATTTCCTGTTGCTTTTTTACATCATGAATGTACAAAAGGCTTGCTGTATCGCAGAGAGATTAGAAATCCATATTTAGCCTACTTTTCATTTCTATTGAATGCCTGTAAATTAGGATCAGGCAAATCCCAATGTTTGATGCAATAGCTCAGCAACTGCTGGAACTGAGGAAGACAATGATTTAGAATCACTATGATTATAGTAGAACATCTGATATAGAAATCCAGAAAAAAATTCTGATGATCTTTCATGGTAAGGATAGCTTGTTTCCGTTTCTATTTTTTAACAAGACTAACTGTGAGCTTTTAAAATTCATTTTTAAAGAAGGTGATGTTTATTATGCATTTTTGAATTGTATAGAAATTCAAAAATAAGCAACTATAGTAAAATTGGCACACAACCCCTGCATATGAATAGCCTTTCATCTAAAGGTCCCCCTTCCAAAGGTGAAAATAATAATAAATGGATGAAATCCTGCTGCTTAGCATAGTAGTAAGTCAGAACTAGAGTAAGCCTATTGAACCTATGATTAGTCAACTTCTCCATAAGTTCCCTTGATTCAATGAATTCAAATCGAATTGCAACGGACTATACTAAGCAACAGAATTTCAGCCAGTCTGTCTTTGCACTGTTACTAGTCATCCCATTTCTCACTTCTGACCCCAAAAATTCATCAGAGACTCTCATCTCCTTTTCTCCAACAAATCCAAAAATTACTTGGTGATGAATGTCATGCTAAGGTTGTTTATATACTTCTAGGAATGGACTATAGGTAGAGTGGGAATGTGAACACTCATACTTCTTTAACTCTACAAAATAATGTGAGATATTGTCCTTATGTCTGCATGATCAACAAGCTCCTTTCTGAAAGAAAATAATGGAAATACACACCTTATCTCACATATCCAGTGTTGCATTAGCACCCAACTGCTAACATCATATTTTCTTCCCTTTCCTGATTTGTGATACATAACTGCAGCCCTCTGCATTACCAGAAAACACACTCCAGAGGGTTTCTGAGTTGTCTGGAGCAGGTTTTGGTAGCACAAGGAAACTATTTTGACAGCAGAACCTACTTTAGTGAATTCTGGCTTAAGCTAAATACATTAACACCTGATCATCATGAATGCACGAAGTTCCCTCTAGTAACTGTCTAAAAGAGTCCATAGGCCTCAAACTACACAATCCCTCCACTGCTGTGGAGTATGAGATTTTAGCAGCATAAACACATTTAGATATCTGGGTCACGGAGTCTCACTAACAATACAATTCTTGGTGGAAACCTGAACAAAACTGATGTTGCACTGAAAACAAATAGTGTTAAGATGAACTTTTATGTTGCTGTTGGATCTTAGGGTATGGTCAGACTATGAATGAAGCATATAGTTAATATGTGTTGCCCTTGTGAAATTATCCCAGAAAACCAACCCAAAGTGTGATAGAGGGAGTTGTGTAAAAGGTTACCACACATTTGTTTATTAAAAAAATTCTGCCCTTTATAAAAACAGAGAAAAAGGAGTAATGGGAAATAGTAGTTAGAAATAAGGTTGACTTTCCTGCAGCCACAGGATTAGAAAAACAGCAGAAAAGGGGGGGAGGGTATATTGAAAAGAATCTGCCCAATTTAATCCTTGAGAGAGATGTGAGATTGTCACCAATTGCTGATGAAATCATATACCACAAATATAAGACAAATAGCTTGATTTTTTAAATATTTTTTTTTTGTAGAACAGAGTCCTCAGAATCCTCCAACCAGCACAGCCAGTAGCTATGTTGGCTGGGAGACTCTGAGACTTTAACTTTGATGATGACAAAACAAAAAGCAGAGGCTTCTTTTGGAACAAAAAGGGGGCCCCAGAACACCCATCTTTGATGTTTACATTAAAGGGAAGAAAATATGATTTTCAGTCTACAAATGCAAGTCTTCAGACACTTTCATTTTGCTCACCTGAGGCAGGGCCTACTTCCATGGCTGCATGGCTTTTTCCAGCTTTGGTTCCTGTTGTTAATGCAAAACGGGGGTGGGGGGAGGGAGGAGCTTCTGTGGTACTTCCTGAGAGTCACAGTCTTGCTGCCTGTTAGGTTGGAGAAAGCCAGGCAGCCTGGGAGTTAGGCCCTGTGCCAGATGAAGGAAACATAAGAGTTTATAGGTGTGTGTTTGTGGATTGAAACTATCAAGAGTTTTGCCTTCAAGAATCCTGGGAACTGCAGTCCAAACCACAAGGCACAACTCAACGCACGTTTTGCCGTCACCCAGAATCCTTAAAATGCACAATATTTATCTTTAAAATTCTAGCTATTAATGGCCATGAAGAAGGAAGGGAAAGGAAGACAACAAATCCCCATTTTCCTACGTTAAGGTCTAGTGTTTAGAACACATGAACACACACACACACACACATTATCTCAAAACAGATCTACAAGAGGAATCTGATGAAGTGGACCCAGATTATTAATTTTTGTTTTCTTTTTTTAAAAAATCACATTGAATGAATATAGATTTGCTTTGTTTTGTTTAGTAGCACAATTACCAAGCAGCCTGCTCTGATCCTTGGGCTCAGAGTTTCTTTTCTCTCAGTCCATGGCACTGACTGGGTTATTGGGAGGAAGCCTTCGTTGTCAATGTGGCAACACAGTGTTGTTGAAAGCTAGGAGAGACGGAGGAATTGCAGCCTAGTCTCTGGTGCTGAAGCTTCATGGCGTTGGTCTCGCCATCGACAATCCAGGAGTCTTTGCCCACCAAGCTCCGGCAGGGCGCAGCGGCGCAGCATGTCCGCTCCCCAGTGAGGTTGCTGGTTTGCTCAGCCAGATGCTTACTACGGCTTAGCTGGGATCCTTCTGGAACGTGGCCTTGCAGGACGGTCGCTATGTGGTTCAGGAGGTCTGTGAAGAATTCGGAAACACCCTCATAACCTGTGAAAAGACGGAAGAAAGGATGGGAAAGGGAGAAAGAATGAAGTACAGGCATTTTTCCCTTAGATTACCTCACCCAAAACATTGCCCCTATTTCTTTTTCCATCTGCTATACAACAATTACACAATTTAAGAGAAGATAGTTTTTGCAGGTACCTGACCTCTGGAGATATCAACAGCCATGTTTTGGGTACAACTCTCAAAAGCACGCCCACTTGGTATTCACCATTGGGTTTGTTTTCAGCATAATAACTAACGCTTTGTTGTCAAAATAACAAATAACAATTCTTTGTTTTTCACACTACAATAAAATAACAAACATTTCCAGTGGGGGAAGGATTCTTCTATTATCATGGCACTCCCTGTCTTCATAATCTTACAACATGATTGGTATGGGTTTCAGCATTTATTTATTTATTCAACAGATATGTTGAAGCAACATATTATTGTGGAAGGAAGAAAATAAAAATGTTTCCTACTCCAACGTGGTGCTATAGTGCTGTAAAATAAGTTAATTCACTATGTTTTCAGCTGCAATCTTTTTAAAGTTCTTTTCCTAAGAAATGATAAATCCTTATGACAGAATAAAATAAACATAGGATAAAGCAAGGAAACCTGTACAGATTGGCACTATAGCAAGAAATGTTAATGTAAACACAGGAGACATATCCTGAAACTGAATTTTTGTTTAGTTTGCTTAAATGTTTTAATTCAGAGACCTCGTTTCTCAGTAAAAATCCACATTTTAATTTATTGCCATTCAGACTATCTTACTTCCATCTCCTGAAACCTCAAAAATAGCTCCACATGTTATGGCTGCTATAAGAAATAGCAGTGTAACAATACTTCTTCCTGTAGACTCAAACAACTGCATGGACATTCCACATGAGTGAAAATGTGTCGGGAAAACTTGATGAGGTCACATCTTCCAGATAGGTATGCTGATATGAAAGGAGTACATACACTCAGATGAGAGGTTCACACATTATATGTTTGCTATTGAAAATGTCAGCACAATATCAGATTTTTCCACAGCAACTATAATGTCTCAGGATGAATGTATGTATCTCGTTAGGAGGCAGAAGCTGCCCAACCTATCTCAAGCAAGTGCAAATTCATGGTGCAGTGAGGTATCATAGCTTGGGATGAAACAACAGCCTTCTATTTTAGCCCTTGCCATTTTCAGTTCAAATTATTTCAAACAGAACAACAGGGAAAGACCCATAGAAATGTGTTTTATCAGCCACAGTGCATCATTTCACTCAACATGAAAGCCAATTAAAATACCAACACCCTGTAGACAAGAGGTGGGAAGCAGCAAATGCCAGACCCCAGTGCAGGAAAAGGTGATATGTAAACTTAAAAATGCCAAGTTGATAGCCCTGGATGACCAGCCATTCTCTCTAGCAGTTCTGCCACACGTCTGTGGCAGAACTGGCACCCCATTACCACTTGCCATCCTGAACAACCAGTAGCTGCTGGGTTGTGCCAAAGGGATGTCAAGGAATTGATAAGCAGCAATTGGCTAGGACAAAGGTAGTACATTTGACAAGTGACATCTGGAGCAGCCAGGGTGCAAAACATTCCTATATCTCCCTGACAGGACATTGGTGGGAAGCGGAAGCATCAGGCATATGGCAAAACCAAAGGATAAGATATAGGTGAGCCCTGCTGAATGCAGCTGTGATGGAAGGCAGCCACATAGCTCAAAACATTCCAGAGATCCTGAAAGACATGCTGCAGCAGTGGAATCTAGCCACAGAACGACGAAGTCTGCTTGTAATAGGCAGTGAGACAAATATGGTGGCAGCACCGCAAGCTGGGATGATGAAAGGAGTGCACTGCATGCCCCACACTCTCAAGCCAGCAGTTCAGGGTGCTTTTCAGGGCATGCAAGACAAATCCCTACCTAATATAATTAAGTGGGCCAGAAAGGTGGCAGGCCATTTTCACCACCATGTCAGGGCAGTGAGATGCAGCAGCAGAAGCAAGGCGGCAGTGGGACTGCATTCTTGCCCATCAAATAGTGTGCCCAATAAGAGAGAGTTGTCTCAAACAGGGAACAGAATACTGTCAGGCCATACTCTCATACATGGAACTTGGATCTGCAGAAAACATATTTTCCTTAAAGTCGACCTATCATTGCGCGCCTTCCCTGAAGTCCCCCTTTAAGGAAGAGAGAATGGCACATGCTGCGCACAGTACTAGGTATGCTGTGCTTCGGTCTCTTGCCCTCTCCTTCTGCCTCTTTCACTCTTCCAAATGCTACTCCAAGATTGTGTTCACTTACTCAAGTGTGCTCTGCCCCATATCATTGGCATATTGACCACCCACCACAGGCCATTTGCTGCCCCAAACTGCCTGTCAACACTGCCCAGGGTTATTTGTCCACTACCCAGTATGAACTGTCCTCTGCTTCCCCCAATGTTGCTGGCATTTCCTGCTAGCGTTCCCACTATTTAGGGGTCAATCAGAATGCCAATGACGGTCAGTTCCTAATACCTAGGCACTGCTGGCTGTTGGTGTGCACTTTTTTCGTTTGGTACAATCACTTGGAAGGTATCAGAGGACACAGGGAAATCCTTTTAAAATGCTTTACCTGTATGTGGTTGTTTTATTAAGAGAACAAAAATGACTACCTACTATTCATATCAATTGTAACAAAGTTCTGGATATCTGGAAATTCTAAATTTTGAAAAGTTCAAATTCCTAATCTGAAGGGCTATAATTCAAAAATCCGAATCTCGGTGCTAGTGCACAGCCCTAGCAACAGATGTAAATTATTGCCATTATTTTAGTTAATTAATTAAGCCATTATCTTGGCAAAGGCGGGAAATCTAAAAGGGGGTTAAAGTGCAGACACATGGAGGTTTCTCAAGAGAATTGGCGGACACATATGGCTACAGCTCCCAACTGCAGAGAGAGGCCCGTGCATGTAGATTCTCCACTCAGACCTCCTGCAGAACCTGTGAAGTCAGAGGGGTAGAGCCAGCGGGCATTATATCTTGCCAACAGGACTAGGAAGCTTGGCTTTGCTCCCCTCGTTGCATGTTCCTTGATCTCACAGAATTCTGAAAATGGCTTATATAAATTCTATTTCAGGCATACAATAGATTTATTCAATAGAACAAATTCCTTTTACCTGGGAATGCATTGATATCAATGACAGCATGTTGACCGGTCTGGTTGTTAATAATGATGTCAATCCCAAAGAGGGAAACTCCCAATGCCTGCCGCAGCGTCTTTGAGATTGCCCGGATGACATCATCATTTGGCCTCTCAAACACTCCTTCTATTTTATCAAGCTTTAATGAGAGAGAGAGAGAGAGAGAGAGAGAAGTTTTTTAAAAAAAAAAATTGGGGAAGGACTTATGCCACTTATATGATGCATATGTATGATGCACAACATATCCTGTGAACTGCAAATTTTATATTGAATCAGTCCTCTTTCACCAAAGCTAGTGAAACACAGATGTCACTCAGCAGATCTAGATAAAAAGGGAAAGCTAGTAGCCAGAATTCTAATTTATTTCTAAGTTCCTAAATTAGAAGTATAGTTTGGTGAAGAATTTCTATTAAAAAACAAACTTGCCTTGTGCAGACAAGCAGAATACAAGCAGAACCCCAAACAAAAAAGTTCTCTCTCTGAATATTAATAAAGGCAACAAAAATAAAAGAGGAAGAGATTTCTAGCCAAAATCCTCTTTGTTATGGTTGATGGCTTAATTTTCGGTGGTGAATTGCTATAAGTTAAGCCCTATCGTGTGTCTTGGTGTGCAATAGGAAATGGCTAGCCTGACTTGCAGGAATCTTTTGCTGAAAGTTATGCTAATATCCTTATGTTGGAAGGTGTAACAAACAGTTGTTTGATCACAAGGTCCTTTCAAGTTTGCGTGTGTTCTGTGACATTACCAACTCTACTTTCCCAGTCAGTTTCCATGGCTGAGCAGGGAAGGAAAGCAGGCCTCCTGAGTCTTAGTCCTTCATTCTATCCACTATACCACATTGGATATTGCTTTCAAGTTTAATGGGATATATTTTACTCTGGTACTCACTCTCACTGAGCAGGAGAAAACTGAGATGTTCTCTGTTTAACGTAATGACTTGTACTCAACACTAATAAATCAGAAAGGAGGCGTGCACACTGAGAGATCCATACAAAATGCACCTCAGTATCTGGTTATATCTGCTTTGAACCACTTAATCAACAGTTAACCATTGTTTTCCAAAAGAAGTCTGTAATACTTACTGCTGTTAAGTTGGAAGAAGATTCTGGCTTTGATACATTGTGGCTGTTGAAAAATATTGATTCTCTATCTGTAGGTGGAAAAGTTAATAAAAATGTAAACATTATAAACAGAATCCTGGATATGGGAACTTACAGGCTATTATCTAGGCAACATGGAATTCTCTTTTTAAAAATCAGGCTACCAACCCGGACGATAAAAGAATTTAAACTGACTAACACTAGGGGGCAGTGCAACCCAGCAACTATATTGATCTTTTCAACTCTTGGATTGATGACACCACATAAACTCCAGTTCAGACCCAGTAATGCAATATACCACCACCACATAATGGTCAGGAAGGTGGAAGACCTGCTGCATAAAGGAGGCGCTTTTAAAATATTTGCTGCCGGGCGAGGTGGTGTTTGTCAAAAAGTAGTTTATATAAAATGATAGAGTACAGCTGTAGGAAGAAAAAATAGCAGCGTCTGACAAATTTTTGAAGTGGTTGTGGTACATGAGAGCATGTGTTCTGCAACAAAACTGTTAGAAAAGCCAAAGTCTTTAAAATAGCTTCAAAGATTAAAAAATAATCTAGGACTATAATAAACAAACACAATAGAAATACATTGCTCATTCTCAGTAATGTAACTGGTGTTCCCAAGCAGGCGCTTGCAATGCTCATGTGGTCACATTTGACAGAGACCTTGCAAGAGTAAAATATACAACATATACACACTATAGGGAGAAAAACAGAATTGTCCTCAATGGGAGAATTACAGGTTGAGTGGCTGAAAAATGCACTTTAAACCAAATATCTTATTTTTAATTCAGAGGTAGGGAACCTCTGGATATCTGGATATTTTGAACTATAACTTCCAAACTCCCTTATCACTGTCCATGCTGGCATCTCATTCTGTGAGTTGAAGTCCCAAACTTCTGAAGGTCCAAGCTTCCTAACCCCTTCCTCTGTTTTTGGACAGATGTCTAATCTCATGCAATTAGTAAGTAAGAGCTGAGTATCTACTACTAAATATCCTTATTACTTAGCAAAGTCTGAAACACAAATACTAAATCAAGCCATGTTCAAGAAAGCAGTAAAAGGGAGAGAAAGACAGGACAAGAAAAGGAAATTCATAATAGTAATATTGCCTGTCCAGTTATCCTTTTGAACTTTTCTACCACATGTGAGAAAAAGAACAAGAAAGATTCCATATTTCCTTTGTGATAAACCATGTTTTATTATAGCTTCATTTGGTTAGAACTTACTACAGTTCTTCAAGTTCATATGCAACAAAGAACTACGGCTTATCTACTCTGGCGGTCTTGTACAAAGAAGAGGAGAGGGGAGAATGTTTGGCAACACCCTCCCATCGGTCACTCCCAAACATCTATACCATGGTCCAGACCAGGCCAGAAGTGAATTTTCTTATACATTTTCTTCAGTTCTTTACTAAGATGACTATGATCTTATTTAGGTCTTCTCCATTTTGGCAGTTAACCAAACCATAAAACCAGAGATGGTAAATCTTTACAAATGCAATGTGCACCTGCTCTTGACTTGTCAGTCACCATGCCTTCATACTGTCGGCTAATGTGAAGTTAGAGGAGTTCATACTGAGGACATGTCAAAACACAGAACAGATGGTGATTTGCACTGATCAAACTACATACACAGAAACAAGCTAAGATGTAGATTTGTTAAATTAATAGTTTTTTTAAAAAGGAATATGAGCTCACCGCCACCAGCAGGAGATCATGTAAATCCAACCTCTCCTCTGGGTTAGTAAACTCCACAGGCTTACACAATTATTCTAATGTTTTAGACAGATGAATCTTTACTACACAGTCAAAAAGGCATCACTTAGGAGATTTTCAAATACAGTACTGACTGGGAAATCACGAAGTGCTTTAAGAACATAGGAGCCATGCTGAATCAGATCAAAGAGCTAGCTGTTCTCACAGTGGTCAACTAGACACCCATAGGAAGTCTCCAAGAGGGATATAAATAAAATAGCACCCTCCTGCTTGCATTCCTCAACAACAGGAACTCAAACGCATAATGGCTGTGATACTATAGGTACTATACAGCCATTACAAGCAATTTCCATTAAAACCTTTGTTCCGTATTAATTCTTTTAGTTGCCTGTTAAAGCTGTCTATCCTAGTGGCCAACATAATGGCTGATATCTTCTCATGCAGCTACACAATGGTATAACATCTGGAGGTGAATTGCCTCATGTGAAGAAATATCCATAGGCACTGTGTGTTATATACTGAGCTGCGGGACTTGGCATGCAACATATAATGCCTGCAGGGATTTCTTAACTATAGAGCCAATATTTTATTCTTGTCATTAAGTCTTGCAGAGAGTCTTTTGACTTTTTTAAAAATTTTGTCACTAGAACGCATCACTTTCAATACGGCTCCTGATATCCATCACTACCGCTTTTACCCCTGGACTAAAAAAACAACAACCCAGAAACAAAAACCCTTAAAGAGTATCAGTGTAGCTTGTTCAGCAGAAACCTCATAGAACTGTTAAGCCAAATAAAAAGTAAAAAGGAAGTGTTAAGATAGTGTACAAGAATTTCTTGCTTATGGAGAATTAAGTAAAAGAATCCAGCAAAGTTTTTTAATCAAATGCCTTTTTTTCTTTTCTCCATGACACCAGAAACCAAAAACAATAAAAACAAAAACAAGCCGGTTATATAATCTAATCTAAGAATTTCATCCATGAACACTTCTCAGAAACAGAGACCTAGCCTTCTAACTCCTAGAAATTGCTACAGAGCCACAAGATAATCAGGGCCATGTGAGATAGTCAAAACTGCAGCGATGGAAGGGACTTAATAGATCACTGAGTCCAGTTCCTGTCAAGGAGGCACAGGGAGGAATTGAATTCCCAACCTCTGGCTCTGCAGCCAGAGTTCTAAGCCAGTGGTCCCCAACCTTGGCACTCCAGATGTTCTTGGACTACAACTCCCAGAAGCCTTCACCACCACCTCTGCTGGTCAGGATTTCTGGGAAAGGAAGTCCAAAAACATCTGGAGGCCCAAGGTTGGAGAACACTATTCTAAACCACTGAGCTATCCAGCAGCTCAGAACATCTGGGAGAATACAGCAGCTTTAAGTTACAACAGTTACTCCTATTTTGGGTGGCTGGTTCAAAATCATTTTTCTCCTTCCGGTTAAAGAAAGGGGTCAGCAAGATTTCTTTTTTTTTTCACACTCATACCTAAATTGCCACTCCATAAGCTTACCTGAAATGCCTGCTGAAAAGTTTTTTACAGATGGTCTTTTGACCACAGTGTATGACTCTCCAACTACGAAGACTTTGTACAAGACGGCATTATGATTGATGAAGCTCTGAATCACACATGGGGGGTGGATGGCTTTCAGTCCTTCCTGGTTAAATATAATAGACATCTAGGGAAAAAAATAAAGAGAGAAAATACATACACTTGCCTCAGCTTACAATTAAGAGAATCAGACTACATGAGAAATAGAGCTAATCCATCTACATGGCAGCACTGTGACACACATCACTATTTCTCAACTCTGGCCCAATCAGATACATGTGCACAGATATATACCACTCAACCTTTACTGCTCACACTCCTGTAGGAAAACACCATCTACCACCAGTGAATGCCCACCGATCATGATGGCTACATGATGTGCCTAGGTCTTTTGACTTGTAAGGCTAGAATTCCAGCCATCAAATGCTAGACGTTTATTTAGAATGTGAGGGGAGAGGTAGCAACCTATGGCCCTCTAGATCTGCAATCCTTATCATTGATCTACGTGTCACGACAGCCTCCCAACCCCAGCCTGAGTCGGTCTGATAATCCTCAAAAGTGCCTTTTCTTTCAGAAAACTTGGGAACTGCAACACCAATTTACAGGTGTTTGGAAGAAGTAACTTTGGTACCCAGAGGTCATCAGCAGTGACTTCCGATTAAATACGAGAGACAAAAGGGAAGAACCTACCTTACTTCACTTTGCTCTCAGGAATAGTTTTACCCCAACTATCAACAAAGTTTTTTTAAAATCCAGTATTAAACTCAGATTTCTACATGGACTTACCTCATGGGAATTGGTTCCATGGGCTACTCTTGTTTTACAAACTATGTAAAGAAAAAAAAAGGAAATTGTGAGTAAACGAAACACAGCAGACAGAGACATGCAAATCATGCTGTTCCTTATAACCAGTTTCAAATGCAGATTGTCAATAACCCATTAACACAACCAGCTTCACTAATATATTGCAATGAACTGTACAGTACTTGGAGCTAACTTTAAAAAAATGATGCTAAAAGTGGAGTAGGTCTAAATAAGACCACAAGATTACTACCTAGGATACAACATTTTGTTCACATCACACCCAGAAAGCTTTATTGTATTTTCAGCACCAGGTGAATTCCACTCTACTTTTCCAGCCTTTTAAAATAATACATGCATCACAGTCTAGGGCTCACAACTCCATGCTTTAATTGTAGTTTACCTAGGGATGTGAAAGTCTAGGATGGGGAGCCAGGGGGGAGTGGAGATAAAACTCAGTGTTTCTCCCTCTTTTTTATTCCCCAAATTAACTTTTTTTTTCAAAAGTGGAACAGTGACAAATGTTGGGGAAAGCTTTTTTTTTTTTTAAACCTCTTAAAAGTATTACTTTGAAATATATGAAATGCATCAAGCCATACTTTTATTCAATCAAAATGCCAGCATGTGTGTAATATGGAAATTTGCATGTAAGACAGTCTACAGAATTGGAGTCTAATAATTCTCATGGCTACTGCAGGCATACACTACACTCACATCCAAGATGCATTTAAAGGGAGTAGCCTATAAGCAGTCTTGTGGATGACTGGTAGGCTCCCTCTGGTGACCTTTATTCTTGTTTGGTAGAGACAGAATTAAAAACAGAAACTTGATCATTTCTGCTCAAGTAATGCAACTTATTTTATTTATTACATTTGCGGTTTCTGTTTTAATTTCCTTCTATTTTGCAGATAAACTCCCCCTTTTTTCTGGATTAGTCAAATCAATGAACCTGAAACAGGATTCATGCATGAGCAATGCCACATATTATACAATATGCAACTCTTCCTCTCCAACCATGGCTTGCGAGCCAAATTTAGAAAATTTTGAGCACTTGTAACATTCTTCTGCATTACACTGGGAATACCTCTAAACTATAACCTTTACTTTGCTCCATAATCAATGGGGTTTTGTTTTTTCAATCATGTAGTGGAAAGCTACAGGAAAAATACTCTTGAGAGTTCCCTGGTAAATAGACTGTAAGGTCTGCTGACATACTGAATGGGAACGCAATTCCATTTTTTTCTATTTGCTGCAAGATGTCTTCTCCACACACATTTGTCAGTTCCATAAACGGTGGTGAACAGATCCTCTCATCTGAAAAACAAGGAGAGAGAAAGAGAGAGAGAGTTAAAGCAGTTTTCACATCCTCATTAGTCTGTTTCATTATAATGAAAAAGACTCAAGACTAACAGATTGTTCTGTTTTGGCCAATTCCAGTTTTCTATAACTACCATATTACTGTTTAACCACTATGCCACAAGGCTCTTTGCTAAAATGCACCATCATCATAAAAGAAAACGAAATAACACATTTCCTCTTTCCTTTCTGGAAAAGACAGAGAAGATCTACCATTTCCCAAGGCTCTATGGCACAGGTAGGTGCTCCAGCATTCTCCTGCACCATAGAGAGTTTTTATGTTTCTCATCAAATGCTGGCTGTAATTGCAGCAGTTGGGAGAATCCTGGTGGTACTGTAGCTGCTGGTTTTTAGCAGCAACTGCTGGCAAAAGTGGCGAGTTTAAGTGACCCATTGTAGCCCCCTGCTATCAAGAAACTACCCTCCCTTACTTTACAAGCATCATCATTTTTTTATAGTAGACTAACAAGGTTACCTCTCTGGAAGTCTTAAACAGCTATTTTTACTTTTAACTGTAAAAAGATGGGTGGGTATTCTTGAGAAAAATACTGAAATGCAAATGACAGCACACACAAGTGAGAGTAAAAAGATGGGTGGTTATTCTTGAGAAAAATGCTGAAATGCGAAATGCAAATGACAGCACACACAAGTGAGCAGAAAGAGGCAAGGAAGCACATCTCGAATCCTGTCATTCAGACTTAGTCAACATTTACTGTAATTCACATGTGTGCAACAAAACTTATTTTGAGACATTGAACAAACATACCTTTGAGAGGCACCAGGTCTTTAAAAATGGAAGCAACGATCTGACATTATAAATGAAGCAACAGGAAGATGGCATTCTAGCATGTGAAAATAGATGTCCATTTCCTCATTCTAGTAATTACTTCTTAAACATGCTACTTAAATAACTACTCTTTTTTTAATCATATTAATCCATCCAAATATTAAAGCACCAAGATAGATAGTGCTTTAGTGAGTTAATATCTGATATCTAAAGAGCTTATACAGGTGATTCCCAAGCTTGGAGGCACAGATGTTTTTAAACTATAACTCCCACAAAACCTGACCCCGTTGTGCTGGTTAAGGTTTTTGAGACTTCTACTGGTAGTTCAAGAACATCTGGAGCCCTAAGTTTGGAAACTCTATCTTTTAACCTTAGTATCGTAATTATTAGAAACTATCTTCTCATGCTCTGGGCACAAAAAAGGCATTATATCTTATTTTACTTTGAGACCACTAGTGGAAATATACATGCATGTAATAATAAACCAGAAGGCTACCATCCAATCTCTCTTAGCCCTCAAGACATTTCAAAGGTTTCTCTGTGTCCCTAGTGTACCAATTAATAACCTAGACCACAGAAATGGAAAGCAGAGGCATTGCAAAAGAATGACTACAGAGGAAAGAGTTCAAGATAAGCCAATAATACAATACACTGACAAAATCAACCTTAATACTGACAACTAAAGTTGATGAAATATTTTTTCTTAAGAAACAAAACAAATTTGATTACAGACTATTACTTTTGAAACTGTTCCAATGTACTTGATTTACTGAAATCTGCAGAAGCAATTCTTGATCTTGCCTGCAAACTGGTTTTCAACCAGCAATGTGCAAAAATCCAGTTTTATGTGTTGATTTACTTGTGCAAGTGCAGAGTGTTAAATGATTAATGAGTTTGTACAAGACTGTGCTTCACCACTGCACTGTTTTCCCTTTCCATGTAGGTGGACCTATGAGTTTGCAGCTATAACAACTATGTTACAGTTTACAAAATTTATGCGCTGCTGATGTTAAAGTCAAAACTGTCTCATTCAAGTGCAGTGGTCAGAGAACAGGGGTAAATTACCCCAAATGGGATAAAAATGAAAATCCTGGGGGTAATGAGGATGGTCGTGGCAGGCATTTTATTTCTAACGATGCTGTGTGCAGGCAGGTGTTCCGTCACGGGTACAGCGAGCCCTGGCGAGGAACTGCACAGGGCACCCACCTGTCCTCTTCGCCTCCCAAATTGGGGGGGGGGAGGGCTGCATACCAGGCCAGCTGGACTCTTTGCCCGGTGGAGTCCTAGCCGGGGCTCTGCTTCCTGCCCGCGCCCACCTGCCTGGTGCGCCGGTGAGGAGGCACCCTTCCCACCTGTCTCACCTGAGCTCATGGCCAGTGGGCCTGCTGGCCCTGCGGTGCCCACTTCCCCTCGCCAAGGATGCGCTTTCCCAGTGGTGTGGCAGCTCCAGACTGGCTGCCCGGACGATGGCCACAGGTCCCAGGCAAGCGCAGAGGTGTTGGCTGGCGTTGGCTGCCGACGGCAAAAGCCAAGGGGATGGTAATGTCAACGTATATAAACTTTTGGGGGGATAGAAGGTAAAAAAGTTCCCTGACCCCTGTTCTAGTGTAATGTTAAACTTATGGGAGTACCATAAGTCCTGGATTCACGACTTCCCTATACAGACTGGCCATGAGAAGGACATGGCAATTTATTGCTTCTGTTCTAAACAACTGCAGCTATTTTTCTTAAGTGTGACCTTGGACAAATGGTGATAAGTCTTCACTATCGTTTAGGGCAGGGGTTGACTTCTGATGCTCTAGGAAGCACGTCTCTCGTCTCAAACGTTTGAGAAGTTTCATGTTATAGCCACCCAATTCCTCCCACCATGTGGAAAACAGCACCCACAGAAGCCTCGAGACAGAATGATTTGTCATTTTGGAACAGCCTTCCAATTTCAGAGTGTTCAAAAGACCACTGTGGCACTTTGGAGGATGCACTTTGCCCACTCCAGTTTAAGGAGATAAGGCAACTTCAGAGTACAGTTAAGAACAGACTTCTCCAACAGATTTCTCCAACCTAGATTCCTCAGACAGGTCTTGATGGACTGAACCCCCATTCCCTACATAGCCTGGAACAATTCAAACTGGACTCAATGATGTATAGGGTCCCTTCCAGCTCAGCCGGGGCTCTGCTTCCTGCCCGCGCCCACCTGCCTGGTGCGCCGGTGAGGAGGCACCCTTCCCACCTGTCTCACCTGAGCTCATGGCCAGTGGGCCTGCTGGCCCTGCGGTGCCCACTTCCCCTCGCCAAGGATGCGCTTTCCCAGTGGTGTGGCAGCTCCAGACTGGCTGCCCGGACGATGGCCACAGGTCCCAGGCAAGCGCAGAGGCGTTGGCTGCCGACGGCAAAAGTCAAGGGGATGGTAATGTCAACGTATATAAACTTTTGGGGGGATAGAAGGTAAAAAAGTTCCCTGACCCCTGTTCTAGTGTAATGTTAAACTTATGGGAGTACCATAAGTCCTGGATTCACGACTTCCCTATACAGACTGGCCATGAGAAGGACATGGCAATTTATTGCTTCTGTTCTAAACAACTGCAGCTATTTTTCTTAAGTGTGACCTTGGACAAATGGTGATAAGTCTTCACTATCGTTTAGGGCAGGGGTTGACTTCTGATGCTCTAGGAAGCACGTCTCTCGTCTCAAACGTTTGAGAAGTTTCATGTTATAGCCACCCAATTCCTCCCACCATGTGGAAAACAGCACCCACAGAAGCCTCGAGACAGAATGATTTGTCATTTTGGAACAGCCTTCCAATTTCAGAGTGTTCAAAAGACCACTGTGGCACTTTGGAGGATGCACTTTGCCCACTCCAGTTTAAGGAGATAAGGCAACTTCAGAGTACAGTTAAGAACAGACTTCTCCAACAGATTTCTCCAACCTAGATTCCTCAGACAGGTCTTGATGGACTGAACCCCCATTCCCTACATAGCCTGGAACAATTCAAACTGGACTCAATGATGTATAGGGTCCCTTCCAGCTCTGCAGTTTAAAGATTAAGATTATTATTATTAATCTGACATGTCTAGAGCACACATCTCTAAACCATAATTAAGATTTGACACATTTTGGGATTTGGTGATAATGTTAAACCAATATGATCAGAAAATGGAATGGAAACTTCCAATTTGTTCCTCAAAGATCTGCCACAGGACAAGGAAGGAGTAAGTGAATTCATGGTAATGAACCACAGATTAATAGATTATTATTATTAATCTGACATGTCTAGAGCACACATCTCTAAACCATAATTAAGATTTGACACATTTTGGGATTTGGTGATAATGTTAAACCAATATGATCAGAAAATGGAATGGAAACTTCCAATTTGTTCCTCAAAGATCTGCCACAGGACAAGGAAGGAGTAAGTGAATTCATGGTAATGAACCACAGATTAATGATCCACCACTTACATCTGAACCAGAAAAGAACCAGCATCAATTTTATTAGTCTAGCCGCTCTAGCATGTGAAAAATGAGTGTGAAGAGGTTAAGAGTGAGGATAGGAGTTTTACTCACATGGTTTAAAAATTATTATTAGGAATTTTAGAAAGAAAAGAAGACATGAAAACTCCGGAAAACAGAGGCCGACAGACAAACTGATATTTTGAGGCTGACATGGATCTTTAAAAAACAACACCTAGTAACAAAATTTAAAAGTTTCTCAGGCTTCAAAGTTTTTTTCACATTGCCCTGTTGAAGGAGGCACCTGAAAGTAACAGTACTGCAATATTTACAAGTCTTTGCCAGAAGAAAAATTGCTTAACTTGGATTAATACAAGGACTTGTACTTGATTCAACTAAGATAACATGGGAGCATCTTTGGCTGAGTTCTCATTGGTATGCAGCTCACAAATCTCTCTTTTGCCATCGGCCATGCAATTTCAGAGGGATGTCTGGTTCTATCTCATTTCCCTTCATTTACTCCCATGCAAATGCAACGGGGGAAACCTCAGGAGGAATACACCATCAAACATTTTCATCATTCACACGCTGCTTGACCAAATGAGACTTGGAAAGGGTGTGTGTGTGTGCACAGGGAGACCTAAACAGTGTCCATTGATACAATTCGAATCCAATAGACTTTTGCTTAGAGAAGAACTGATATATACCCAGAGTCTGAAAAAGCT